GAACAGGGTTTGAATCCCTACTTGGCCATGAAAACCCATTGGATGACCTTTGGGAAGTCACACTCTCTCAGCCTCAAAGGATGGCAATGTCAAACTCCCTCCGAACAAATCTTGCTAAGAAAACCTCACAATAGGGTCACCTTATGGTTGCCATAAGCTGGAATCGACTTGAAGGCACACAACAATAAATTAATAAATATATCTAAAGAGAAAATGGGAATAAAGCAGCAAAATAATTATAGAGATTATGTAATAAATTGGATTTGAGATGATAAATAGAAGTAAGAGATACAGAAATAATTTATGCGAAATGTGAAAAAAAATGCACTTATTTTCAAAGAACTATTGTGAAGTTTGAATTATGGGCAAACATGTAAAATGATCATAGAATATATTTTAATTGTATTTTTTTTGTTTTTAAAATAAAATTTTATTTATAAATTAATAAATATAATAAATAAATAAATAAATAAATAATTTTGCCCCCAAATGCCTTGTAAGAAAGGATATGAGGGTAGCTTTTTAGGCCTTCCTGGGTCCCTAGAGAGCATTTTGAAGCAAAAAGGAAAGGAAAAGGAAAATAAAATTGTAAAAAATTATAAATATTTAATTCAGACCCTTGGGAGTTCTAAATGGCTTCAAAGACAGCGGAAACACCTTTGTTGTGTGTGCCTTCAAGTTGATTCTGATTTATGGCAACCTATCATGGGGTTTTCTTGGCAAGAGTTGTTCAGAGGAGGTTTGCCATTATTGCCATCCTCTGAGGCTGAGAGAGTGTTGCCCAGTTTAAAAGAATACAGATTGAGTTTCTCTTATTCAGAATGCCAGTGGGTTTCCATGGCTGAGCCGGGATTCGAACCCTGGTCTCCAGTTGTAGCCCAGCCACTGAGCCATGCTGGCTCTGGCCATGATAATTCAATTGTTTCCCCCCAAAAAATTCTTATTATTAGGTTTTAATTCACATATCTTGTTTTGAGCCAGGGTAGTGTAGTGGTTTGAGTGTTAGAGTAGGACTCTGGAGACTAGGGTTCGAATCCCTACTCAATCATGAAACCTACTGGGTGACCTTGGGCAAGTCACATTCTCTCAGCCTCAGGGGAAGGCAATGGCAACCCCCCTCTGAGGAAATCATGCCAAGAAAACCCCAGGATAGGTTCGCCTCAGGGTTGCCATAAGTCAGAAACTAACTTGAAGGCACACAACAACAAAGCATGGAAACCCATTGGGTGACCTTGGACACATTCTCTCAGCCTCAGAGGATGGCAATAATGGCAAACCCCCCTCTGAACTAATCTTGCGAAGAAAACCCCAGGATAGGAGTACTTTAGGGTTGCCATAAGTCAGAAACTAACTTGAAGACACACACCAACAAAGCATGGAAACCCACTGGGTGACCTTGGGCAAGTCACACTCTCTCAGCCTCAGGGGAAGGCAATAATGGTAAAAAAAAAAACACCCTCTGAACTAATCTTGCCAACAAAACCCTAGGATAGGGGCATCTTAGGGTTGCCATAAGTCAGAAACTAACTTGAAGGCACACAACAACAACAACAACAACAATAAAGGTATGTTTGGGGGGTGTTGGTTGTTATTGGTCTTTGAGAGGTTAAGGTTATAGAGTCTCGATTCCTAGATGGGCACCACAGAGATCGTATGCCTGTGAGCATCCCTTGCCACAGGGCACATCCGGTCCCGCCTCATCCGGGAGCAAAACAGCCAATCAGCTTCTTTGTAGGGAAGCTGCCATGCAAAACATGCCCCCCCATTTTGTTTTGAGCCCCAGTTGCCTTTGGGGAGCAGCACCAGCAACAGCAGGTGAGAAAATGGGGGGCAGTGTGTATTATTATTATTATTATTATTATTATTATTATTATTATTATTATTATTATTATGTGTGGAGTAGAAGTGTAGCTATGATGGGGGAAAGGGGAAAATGAGGGTCTGACTTTCCTAAATAAAAATTCTGGTCCCCAATAAAAATGTCTTTTATTTTATTTTATTAATTTTAATTATCTGTTGCTTTAAATTTTTATTATTTTATTTGATTAAATGCATTAAATTAAATTTAAAGAAATTTAATTTCTTTAATTTAAATGCATTTAAATTAATTTAATTCATTTAACTAAAGGCATAAAATTTAAATTTTAAAAAACTTATTTAGTTAAAGGCACTGCATTAAATTTAAATTTAAATCAATTTAATTTGTTTTATTTAATACATAAAATTAAATTTAAATTTAAATCAATTTAATTTATTTAATTAAACCCATTTTATTTTGTTTTATTTTATTTTATTAAAGCCATGAAATTTAAATTTGAATCTATTTACTTAAAGGTATTACATTAAATTTAAATTTAAATCAATTTATTTTATTTTATTATGCCCATTAAATTAAATTGCAATTTAAATCAATTTAATCTATTTAATTAAACCCATTAAATTCATTTAATTAAAGGCATGACATTTAAATTTGAATCAATTTACTAAATTAAAAGCATTACTTTAAATTTAAATCCATTTAATTAATTTAATTAAAACCTTTAAATTTAAATCAATTTAATTTAATTTATTTATTACATAAATTTTAATTTTAATTTATTTAATTTATTTAATGAAGCCCATTAAATTAAATTTAAAGTAATTTAATTAAAGGCATGGAATTTAAATTTAAATCAATTTAATTTAATTAAAGCCATTCATTTACATTGAAATCTAAATCCATTTATTTAATTAAATAATAAATTAATAATTTTAAAAAAGATTTATTTTAATGATTTATTATTGAAAGTGGAGTCAAACTGCATTATTAATTTTATTTTCCCCTCACCACCACCACCATCACCACTAATAGGGTTGCCATAATAAAAATTAAGAAGTGGAGGCTCCTGTGTTGCTTTAAGGCAGTGGTTCCCAAACTTTTGTCCTCCAGATGTTTTGGACCTAAGCTCCCATCATTCCTGACTGTTGGCCAAGTTGGCTGAGACTTCTGGGACCTGAAGTCCAAAACACCTAGAGGACTATAAACTTTTGGAATCAATGCTTTAAGGCAG